CAAAACCCCACCAGACACAAACCCAACACAGTCTGTCTTTCTTTGTCCCGTCAGACACGTATAGCACAAGCTCAGAGGCCAAATCACTCCTACATATCTACACTAGCTCCACAGATTGCTTAAACCCCACAGATTCCAGACTATGGGGTCAATCAATGATGGTTAGGGTTTCACAGCCAAATGTGATACAGAAAGAAGGTGGTGAGGGCTAGGAATTTTAGAAGTCCAACAAAGGCGTTTTGAAAACACCTCACAGCGTTTGGGCATGTAACTACTGAATTCTGGTGAAAAAGCAATGGATAGAGTACATTTTCCTGAGCAAAATTCATAAACCTCAGAAATCTCAAGCAAGTAATCTTTATTCCCATTTCACAGATGTGAAACTTGTCAATATCTAGTTCAAGTTAACGCTGCAAGTGCTTAGAGCCCAGGTCTCCTCACCCATCTCCTTGTCTTTCATCTGTTTTTTCCCGACTCCTCTCCTGCCTCAGACAGTTTTAGGGTAGCTCCTTTCTTCAGCACAGAGATGCTGCACTCTGTGAATACAAACTGTGCTTTCAGCTTGTTGTGTTTAATGCAGCCAGTGCGGCATGTGTGCTTCTCCACTAATAGGACCTCTAGAACTGGTTTCTCTCTATGCATTGATAAGTTACAGATCTGGGAACTCCAGCATGTGTTTTGGTTTTCTTTGGTGTTTTCAGATAGGTAAACATGATGAAGCCTGGATGATCCTCAAGCAAGTTCATGACACCAACATGCGGGCCAAGGGCGAGCCAGAGAGGGTGTTTACGGTGAGTTTAACAAAGCCATCAGTGTGTAAAAAGAAAAACTGGACATACCTTCCTTGGTGCAGCACAGCACCAGTTTATTCCTCCCTGGGACTCTTTCAATGTAATCTCCCCCAGCAATCAGAAAAAGGACTCTTGGATACCTGTTGTGCATTTAAAGTAAGATGCCAGTCTATTTTTTCAAGAATTAGTTGATCCTGTGAATGGCAGTGAGTACTTTTCATTCCTGATGTCTATAGACCAGTGATTTTTCCAGTTGCGCACACGCTTAATTGGTCTGCTTTAAGAAACTAAAACCAAATAAAAGATATATTAGTCATGTGGGAGATCTGAATCACTCCTTTCTCCATTCTGGCTTCTAATCAAACTCTTATTAAACTTCACGTACCTTGAATGAGCTTCCCAAACTCCGACTGCCTCATACCCAATCTTTAGTCTCTGCAAGGGAAAGCGGGATGAGTGGCTATTACTCATTAGTCTGCTGTTTGCTGTGAAAAGGTCACACCAGTAGATTTTGTTAATAGTAAAATCAGGCAAAATGTGTATGCTGGGGTTAGTTGCAAATCACTGTAATTCAGTTGTAAACTTCTGGTGAGCCAGCCAGGCTACAGCTCTTGATTTATGCTTTTAAAGATGAGAGGACACATGCTTTTAAAGGATGGAGAAAAGGAGATACATTTGCATGTCAAACACGTCTTTTTGAAACAGAAGGAGACTAAGACTCTGTGTTCAGAGGGGTTGTCATGAAACAGGTCCCTTCGGGAGTGATCCTTCAAGAAAATTAATGTTTAATATCTGTGCATGGCAATTGTGTGCAGGTTCAGGTAGGAACTTAATGAGCATGTATTATTTTCAGGCTACCAACAAATCCCTACCTGCCTTTGCTGTAATGTCAAGCTAGGGCGGCTAGTCCTGCCATGTGGCAGAAGGAAAAGAGGACTGAAATTCAAATATATATCTATATCTATATTAAAAATATATATAAAATACATATATATATCAAAGTAGGCCACTGTGAGAGGCTGAGCTGAGTAGGAAAATGAAGGAGCAGCTGTACAGCACCCATTAGTGCTCATTACTCCATCCAACGGTGTCATGACTGCTACAGCATGAGCTGATCTCAGTATTGCACCTTGAAGTATGGCGTGCCGGCTGAATCAAGATTTACTGACAGCCGTTGGCATAGGCAGATGATCAGTGCGGCTGGTGTAGCACAAACTGTCAGATTTTGTGTTTTTCTGATAGGCCAGAAGTTGCCAGTTTGTGGTGAGTCAGCTGGTGCCGGGACGGTTCCCAGATCTGACATTTAAACGGTGCCAGCAAGAGGAACACAGAGACTCCACAGCTGAGCCAAGGCGCTCATTCATACTCAGAAATGTATTCAGTAAATTTTCACCTCCTTGTCGTGTTTACAAACAGATCTGGTTTCCTTGAATATGTCCTTTATTTAAAGTTACTGAGCAAATATTTTCTGGGACCCATTTGTAAGGTTTCTTGAGCAGTCCAGTTCAGGTGTTCAGTGTCAAAAATTCAGATCATTTTGGTGAAGCAAATTGATTGTGTGGTGGGGGCTCACTTGATGACAGGATGCATTTTCAGATGCAAAGATTCCCGTCTGCACATTCATGTATCATAGAAGTTCTGCCAGTGGTACTTAAAAGGTGCTAAATGAGAAATATTCCTGCCAGTTGTCTTTGAAGAAAGAGATCTTGAGGGCACAGCTCGATGCAGATACAAGTGGCTGATCTGGGAGATAATTTTTACTATAATTGCCTAGTCCTAATTTTTAATGAGAGTCTAAGGGATAGAGAAATAAGGTAGTAGACAGGCACATTACCCGATAAAAGAAAGATTGAAATGGATATGATGCACTTAGAATATTTCATGGAAAGAGAGAGAGAGAGAGAGAGAGAGAGAGAGAGAGAGAGAGAGAGAAAGGTTAGAGGGATAGATGGAAGGAAAGAAGGAGGGCAGGCTTATTTCTATAATAAAATCTCTTGCTGTAATTAAATCAGTTAGCTCAATTGTTAGTGATAACATTCAAGGAAAAGACAGTAAGTGGTATCAGGTGGAAACATTGCCCAGAAGACAGTGAAATTTAAAATCCACCCAAGATCAATTCTAGAAACTTCAGTCCCATTTTTTTCTCTTCTTTTTTTTTTTTTTTTTAAAAAAAAATTTCCCCCAGGTTTCCTATATCAAAACTCCAAAGCAAGTAGACGAATTCATTGAAATCCAGAGCTCAACAGGGACCTGGTACCAGCGGTGGCTGGTCAGAATCACGACTACTTTCAAACAGGTAAAGAGAAGAACAAACATCCCACAGGGGCTTTTGAACTTCAGGCTCCAGTGCCTCGTTGCTTCAGGTGTCTTGAATCCCTGACTCTCACTCAAAACCATCTGTTTGCAAAGGCCTGTAATCCGATTGCACTTCCTACGCAGAGGTGTGCATCTGCAAACTGCCACACTGCCAGCCAGGCCCCAAAAAGCCCCTGTGAGCACCAAGTAGTCCAGCTGGGCAGAGCTTCCAGGATGAGCCACAGCCCCAAGCACTTGGCTCTCCTGAGCACATAAATATTGGCTCCCTCTCCCCCAAGCCTAAGGGAATTTACCACCCACAGTGGATTCGGAAGAGTGTTTGCTCCTTGTTCCTGCTGCGGATGAGTTTCTAACAATGTTTTATTGCCTCTTTGGCTAATTTAACCTTTCATGCACGCTATGCTCCTTACCTATGCCCATGCAGACCTTTGTGGAAACTTTTGCTAGATCTTCTAGTCTAGGAGGGTGAGCTTAAAGTAAAAGAGAATCGTTCTTAATTAATAGCAATGCAGGGGCTATACTATTACTGTATTTATGTGGCAAGTTAAGAGCATAAGGAGATACATCCCCTCATGTTCCTGGCAATATTTTCTGCCACAGGTCAAGAAGAGCAGATCTGGGTCTGCCCCCTGCTCTGCTTGGCTTCATCCCTACCTGAGTTCATCTTACCCCTTCTAAAGTGCCAGCTGTGTGGTTTTGCTCTTCAGTGAACTTTGGAGCTTGGTTTGAAAGCGCCCCTGAGACCACACATATATTTGAAAAGACAAAATTGTCAGAGGGTCTGAGAACAGGCTCATATTCACATTTACTGATAGAACCTGAGAGAGACACTGTATCATCCCAGCCCCAGTCATGCACTCCAACTCATTACAGAGTTCAGATCAAATACCCTGGCACACAGCTGAATAAATGATCTTTTTGTAAGCCATTTGTCTCAATAAATATAATTTTGAACAAACACTGAATAGAAGCCACACATCTGACCTTCCCCAATGAGCCCTTTTTACTGATACTAGATTTACGATGCACTCAGAAATTAATGTGTCAACTGTCTGCTAGGGTGCCCTTGCAGCTAATTCCTTCTTGTGGATTTGTAGGTCTGGGACAACGTGCTATATTGTTTAACAGCGCAGTACAGGATGAACACACTGATGCTGGCTGTGGTTTGGTTTACAATGGCCTTAAGGTACAGTACTTCTTTGACTTTTTCAGGAAAACAGAGGGCCCTCAGAGTTTGAATAATTATTTGCACATTTCAATAAACTATTCCAAAATTAATCCTTGTCTTATTTTAAAGAATCTTTCTGTGCTAAGCCTTGCTCTCCTACAAACTATTGATCAATCTGATTGCTTATATAGGGTACAAGATGTTTTGAACAAACCAGGACTTGAGAACTGGTCAATAGGGCAGTAGTATGTCAACTTTCTCACCTCTAGATCTTTCATTTGTCCTTGTCCACAACACTGCCTGATTCTCAGCTGTTTCTTAGTCTAGATAAAAAATACTCAGGTGAGCCTAAATGTTAATTGCAGGTAAACTTTTTCTAACTCTCACTTGCACAAATCTGCCTTCTGGGGGAGTTTCCAAATTTCTTGCTGCTCTGCTGGTCTCTTGGACAGCAAGGATAGCACATTGCTGTATTTCTCAGCCAAGGAGTCAATGTCACTAAAACTTAAATGAATTGTCCTGCTTTACGTGAACAAAAAAGGACCAATGTGCTTCTGAGGGAAGCTGGGTGTTTAGAGTAGGGAGAGACTTTGCTCAGTCCTGTGTCAGAGCTGAGCAAGAATTTGTATCAGAAATGCATTTGCGTTAGGAATGGAACACGTTTCAAAGTTATGGTGAAGTAGATCGTTGGAAATGCACTGTGATATTTGCAGTGCCAGGATCTTGCATCCCTAATATGTTTCTCCTGTCTGCTATAGTTACTACGGCCTTATCGTCTGGTTCCCTGATATGATCCGGTATCTCCAAGAAGAGGCATATGAATCCCGAGTGAAGATCTTTGATGAGGAAGAAGTGTCACACTTCACCTTTAATTTCACCCTGGAAAACCAAATCCATAGAAATGGAGAATACAAAAATGATAAGTAAGTGAACAGAACTTGGTTCGATGAATGTGAACCAAAATACATTTCTAGAAAGCTCTTTTTTTTTTTTTTTCTTTTTCCACCGACTTGAAAATCTCTGTTGTTTTTTTGGACACTCAGACTATATCTCTCAAATCCCAAAGGTAGTTTTCCACACACCAAATATCCTTTTTATCCTGTTTTTCACCCACTCTGCCTCAGCTGCTCGCATCTCCAGACCCAAGGGGACGCCTGTGAAGAGTCCTGCTTCCAGCAGCCCCTCGTTGGGAGCAGGGCAGCGGGTGCCCACCTGGCTGTGCTGCACAGCTCTGGATGCAGAGATGACTTCTGTTTCCTTAGCACGCACTGACATCTACTGGTCTTGGGCAGCAGAGCCCATCACTTGTAGTGAAACTGCTCTGGTGCTGCATTTCCAGAACAAAAAGCTGCTTTCCCTTGAAGTCCTCGATATGATTTGCCCCGGTCTCCATCCTGCAGCCCATTAGTGCGAGCTGTGTCATGGCCAGTTGTACTGCTGTGCTTCTCCCACACCGGACGGCATCTGCCCACAGAATGAGTGTGTTGTCTTCTCTTTTAGTGCTTTGAAGCCAGTGAAGTTAACTCTAGCAGAACATCATTGCTTTCCTGCCTTTCTTCTCCTATTTGGGCTGGGCCTGGTGGTTTTTCTTCCACATCCACGCTGGACCCTGATCACTCTGTGTTCCACAGCAACATAAATCCTAGAGATTTGTAGCAGGCCATTAATACTTTTCTAAATCTCAGTAAAATTGGTAGGAAAATACCCCTGTATAAATTTTATGGAGAGCTCATTGCACCAAATAGACTAGACAGGGTGTTGCCCCAGCTGCCTTGCACTATGTGGGGAATTCCCACTGGATGCTCAGTGTTACACAAAACACTCATTGTTTTAATCTTCACAGGTGAAACCATACTTCATTGCCCAGCCAGGTTTTCCTCTCGCCTCAGAAACTATTTGTCTCCATTTCCTTCATGTATATCTGATAGACATTGGTGGGGGGCACCAGCATGTGTCCCCATGTCTTTCTGGAGACTTTCCTTACAGCAAGGAGCTGTGCTTGATGGTGTAAACCTAGCCCCATAATTCCCATTCCCCTGCCTTTCGAGCAGCCAAACAAAATCTTGTGAGAAGTGGATAGTGATCAAATTTAGGGATTTGAGGCCCTTACCTTATGCCCAGAGGAGATGATCAGTTTTCACTAACTTCATTGAGAACTGAGGATGCTCAGCACCTTGCAGGCTGAAGACCTAAAACTGTGACGTACATCACTATTCTCCTGCCTTGGTTCTCTCTGATTCAAAACCTCAAAACCTGATCAAGCTACATTTCAGTAATGCCCAAAGCATATCTCAGTATGATTTATAGCTGTGTTTTCCCTCCAGCCCTTGGCTGTGAGTTAAAGCTCCATTGAACACCCGTGCATTGCTATACGACTCTTTTAAAGATGGATGTTAAGAAAGCAAACTGCAGGAAAGGGCTTCTAACAGCCTTTGGGAGTAAATGCATCACAGGCCTTTACTGAGCAAATGCAGACCTGCTCAAGTTTTGCTGTAACCTGCGAGACCTTCTGCGTGGAGCAAAAGACTTGAATAGTCTTCCTGTGGTATTTTGCGCATTAATAATGTCTGTTAGTAGCTTCAGTGAAGAAGCCCTGCAGTGCTCATTTAATGATGTGAACAGCCATCATGCTACACCGTGTTGTAAGTGCTCAATTCAATTAAGTTTCTGGGTACATGTTAGAAGGCTTTTTATTTGGTGACAGTGGTGGCCTCCTTAACTAGAGCAATAATGCTTGCCCTTAATAGCTCCTTACATCTTCCAAACATGCCTGTGCATTAACTAATACATCTTCTCAGTGTCCCTGCAAAATTTCACAGGTAAATCAATATTGTGTCATCCTTCAGGCAGGCAGGTCAGACATGTCAAGCTTCCCATCAGAGAAGAAATCAATCACCTGGCGCTGTTGATTGTTTTTAATGTAATCTGTTTTTATTACATGATAAGCAATAGTCCTCAAACAGAGATGGTTACAAGCAGAACTCAGATAATCTCCCCACTCTCTAGAAAACATACTGCATTTTTTGCTTAAAAAGCACAGTGAAGTTTAAACAACTGTCAGAAGCCTTTCACCAAATGGCTCAATGGGCTCTTGATAATATCTGGTTTTATTTATGCTGGAGGAAAGGCCAGAATAAGCAAGGCAGCAAGGTCAGTGCACAAAGAAAATGCCATGCACTGAGTGAAATTATGTCTTCTTCAGATGGACCAGTACTGAGGATTTGTGTCCACTCAGCCTCAGAAGCACATTTTCTTAGATGTGACTATTGTGAGGAACAGAAAAACTGCCAGAAATTCTAAAAGGTCCGTCTCTCTTTAAAAAAACCCTCTTCTAACCCATCTCTCCTACTAAAATACAAAATACATACGGATGGAGTTGGAAGGACAGTTATGCATTCGAGCAACACCTTTTCTGTAAATGACCCTAGAAATTGCCATTATTGCTCTGTGTCTTGAAACAGCCACAACATGCCATGTAGTGTAGAAAATACCTTAAAGTACTGAGTGAAGTTCTGTTTCCTACTCCACAGATTTATTGGCATGAAATTCAAAGAAGTGAGATTTGAGGATTCATTGTTTGAGGAATGCTACTTTGAAGATGTGACATCCAGCGAGACCTTCTTCGAAAACTGCACCATCATTTCTACTGTCTTTTATAACACTGGTAATGGGATTCCTGCTATGGTCTCATCTCTGTAATTAGGAACTATTTTATCAGATTCTGGGAGAAAGGATGATACGGATCTGTGTGTTTGTGTGTTTGCTGTCTAATGAGAGTGAGTATAGAAAAAAAGAGGGTGATGCATTTGGAAGGAGGCTTCAGCTTGTTCCATTAGTGTTTTTAACCCCCTGGCTTCTGGTGTCATTGGCTGCTGCACGGGAAATGCAGAAGCCTGTGCTCAGACCTTGGCAGGTTAAAGTAATGGCAAAATGCCTGGCAGTTTAACAGTTCAATTCAACAAATTTGGCTTAAAATATAGTTTTAACCAGCCTGTGGTTGATGATCGTAAGCAGAAAAAATATTCATTAATTTATCCTGAAAATCTTTTCACTCCTACTCTAACTGAGTACAAACCGTAATGCCATGAAAGCCAGAGCCTGCATTGCCTGTCCTTGTGGCACAGGGATGCTGGTCCAGGTGACTCCATTAATAGAAGGAGTGCATGAGCTTACACCCACCATGTGCCAAGCATGTCTCTAGAGTTTGCCACTAAAATAAAAACTCGCTGGCTCTCTGGTGAGGAGCACCTCTCAGATCTTTGATTTGGTTTTGATCGTGACTCCTGTTGAGGCGCTATGAAGG